GGCGCTTGTGAGCGGAGCGAGAATCAGCGCATTCCAGCTCACAGCCGGCGACAGATCGAGCGTACGTCAGTTCTTACTTTTGAGCCCTGACAGGCAGGACGTTCTCTGATAAATAACCGCAGTGGGAGCGAGCTGGATTCTGTATGCTAGTCTGCTAGCCACATTTATCAAAGCATTTTGCTCTGTTTGACCTTCGAAGAAGCTGATACGAGACTGAAAGGGGGAAATATTTCGCTCATGCACTTGTGGGGATTTCAACTAAATGCTGCAGCGAACTGCACGAGGCCACAGCGTGAACGTAAATGCATGTTCATCCTGAACATAGCAACGAGCTCCCCCGAGAGCGCGAGAAAAACGGATAGATCGCTTCGCGTGATCCTCGACCTTAAGTGCCATCCCTCACTGAAAAATCACATTTCGACAAGCTGGGTCACATTTTTCACATAGCACGATGGGAGAGTTGCATCAAGTTGGTTAGGGACATCACACCAAAGAAGTACTGCATAAGAAATGGAATACTGTAATGCTGCTGAAAAGCATATACAGCATCTCTTCATTCTTCTGACTCTGCATGATCCGACTACTACTTGCTTGTTGATCAAGAAGTTTTGATAGGGTTGAGATTTTTTCTGTTTTATTTTACAACTCAGCAAACAATGCAAGCTAATCAACAATATAATAACCATCGTTAGTCATAACATTGTCCCACCTAACGGGCAGGTCAGCGATTCCCTTCTCCCAGAACTGGGGAGATTGGGAGTCAAAGTCACCGACCACTTGTTCAAGGTGGTCATAGTTGACGAATCGTTTTTTGCTAGGAAAGCCTTGAGGGGCCGGAACAAGTGGTAATCTGAGGGGGCAATATCAGGTGAATAGGGTGGATGTGGAACCGTGTCCCAGCCTAGCTCCTCCAATTTTGCACGGGTCTCTTTACCTATGTGAGGCCGTTATGGAGGAGGTGCACAAAAGTTCGTCTAGGCCGTTTTTCCTTCCGCAAGTTTCCGCGCTGACCAGCGTAATAGGGAGCGGTGACGGTGTGGCCTTGCTTGAGCAGTTCGTAGTACAGCATTCCTTTTGAATCCCAGAAGCAGCAAAGGAGAAACTTCTTGGGGTGGAGGTCGGATTTGGCTTGCGTCGGCGGCTGTTCTCCTCGCGGGACGGCGCGGTGCTTGTTAGCGTCGCCAAATAGGTCCTCCAGAAACTCCTTGCGATGTGGGCGGAGAAGGAGACTGACAAATGGATACCCGGGTGTACCGCATGCTATCGGTCAAGACATGAGGTATCCATCGAGTCAGCACTTTTCTGTAACCGAGGGCCTGAAGGCGACCGACGACTGTTGATTGGGCACACCCAAGTCTCGTCGCAAGACTGCGGGTGTTAACTTCCGGATCCTCTTTGACGGCGTCGAGAATGACGGAGTCGTCGACGGCGAGGGGGCGTCCCGACCGAGGCTTGTCTTCGAAGTCCGTGTCTCCTTCCTTGAAGCGAGCGAAAGCGATGGACCGTAGCGATGGAAGTGGTTTCCCCCGTTGTTGATGTTGCGAACGGTTGCCGTCGCTCCGTCGCGCCACTCGTAGAAGATGATGTATCGAACATGGTCTCGTGGAACTGACATCTTGGGCTAAAAGAGGCCTATATATACCCAATACGGAGAAGGTTCTGGAATGTTCTACCACTACCACATGGTAGATCATTGGTATCGATCAAGAATCGAAAGTTCTGGAACTTTCAAAAAACCCTATCAAAACTTTTTGATCAACCTAGTACAGAGATCAACATGTGATCAGAAATAGCTTGTGAGCGGGACGATGCTGTTCCTCGGCTTGCCTCAGTCATTTCTGGACTTGAGGAAATGATGGTCTAGTGAAGCGTTGGACATAAGCAGTGGGTCATTATGGCCACTTTTTTTGACCGATATCCATGAACAACAGATGTATAATTTCCTGAAAATAATTGTAAAGCTTGGTGCAAGACTTTAGGGCCAGCGAGGGATTCTCGGTGAAATGCAGCTTGTTAAGAATTTCTATCATTTGTTCTCAGGCCTGCTATTGCAGTTTTTGTACAAAGCTATTGTATATGTTCTCACGCCCAGGCCTTCTTCCTTTCTCCTCACTCGATAGAAACTCGTGGTGTGCGTTTAGTTTGAAGCTGGCTAGAGTGAAGGGGCAGGAGGACGGGTGGGTGTTGCGGAAGGAGCATATTGAAATTGAAATTTCCATCGCGTTGATATGCCTTCTCATTCCCAACGCTTGGAGTGTTTTTCCTCGATTTAAGATATTGCAATGTTATCTTGGTTTTGGTTTTTCATCCTGCCATTTGAGTACTCCGTAAAGCTAACACCAGATGAAAACGCACGTCTCGCAAAAACATGTGGAGCCGAACATCGAGGTAAGTTCTGCCATTGAATAAAACACTATAGTGTAGGCGTTCTCCTGTAGGTTCCCGTGTGATGTTGGAGCAGGGCAAATCATTAGTTGGGGATTTTGGTTGAAACTGCATTCCCCTTTTTTTAGCGGATTGGTACGGCCCCACCCTCAACCCTTATTTACGGAGTTGGTGCGATCCCCCCCCCTCTAGTTCCCTCCTCTAATCGAGCTTTCGTGTGAACGGTGAAGATGTTCCTGATTTGTTCTACGTGATTTTGATAGGCGAAGTCCTGCTGTTCAACACAGCATACTCAATCTTCCACTCTTTCTTGATTTACCAGTTTCGATTCATCGAAATGGAATGTCAGCTCGTCACAAATGGAAGCTTTCGACACCAGCTATCTGCACTTAATCTAGGCCTGCAAGTAGCTGAAGCAGCTCGAGATTCG